TGGTTTGGATATTTTCTTATTTCTTTTTCTCCAAATCAGAGTGTGATTGTGATTGTGATGGTTATTGTTAATTATTCGTCGTCCCCCTCCCGCGACCCGGCCCGCGACCCACCCGCGACCCACACGCGACCCACACGCGACCCACCCACAACCCACCCGCGACCCGGCCCGCAATCCACCCGCGACCCACTCGCGACCCACCCGCCACCCACCCGCGACCCACCCGCGACCCACGCGCGACCCACCCGCGACCCACCCGCGACCCGGCCCGCGACCCACCCGCGACCCTTCCGCGACCCACCATCGACCCACCCTCGACCCATCTACGTACATTGCTTTAACGAAGAAGTCGGCGTTTGCGGCGGGCTCACGGCATAATTTGTAAAAGTTCGACGCATGCAGCGGGCTTCTCGCCTGGCAGACTGCCGACGTCCTCGCCGCCCCCTCGCTCTTGTCCACAACTGCGGGGTGCTACGTAATACTTGTGATTTGGGTTTCGTAGTTTGTCCCTACATAGGCTCTGCCTAGAAGGGTTCTTACTCTCTTAGCTTAAAGGGCCGGGCAGTGTAACACGCCCCGGGCGGTTCCCCCGGTCCCTGCCCCGCGGTTCCCCCAGTCCCCTGGGAGCTTTAGCTTTAGCTTTAGTTCTAGCTTAGCTTTAGCTTAGCTTTAGCTTAGCTTTAGCTTAGCTTTAGCTTAGATTTAGCTTTAGCTTAGCTTTAGCTTAGCTTTAGCTGAGCTTTAGCTTAGCTTTACCTTAGCTTCAGCTTTAGCTTAGCTTAGCGGCACCTTAGCTTTAGCTTAGTTTTAGCTTAGTTTTAGCTTTAGCTTGGCTTTAGCTTAGCTTCAGCTTAGCTTTAGCTTCAGCTTAGCTTCAGCTTAGCTTTAGCTTAGCTTTAGCTTAGCTGTGCCTTAGCTGTACCTTAGCTTTAGCTTAGCTTTAGCTTAGCTTTAGCTTGGCTTTAGCTTAGCTGCACCTTAGCTTTAGCTTAGCGTTAGCTTAACGTTAGCTTAGTTTTAGCTTAGCTTTAGCTTAGCCTTTACCATAGCTGTAGCTTAACTTTAGCTTATCTGCACCTTAGCTTTAGCTCAGGTTTAGCTTAGCTGTAGCTTAGCCTTAGCTTAGCCTTAGCTTAGCTGTAGCTTAGCTTTAGCTTAGCTTCATCTTAGCTTTAGCTCACCTTGAGCTTAGCTTAGCTTAGCTTTAGCTTAGCTTTAGTTTAGTTTTAACTTAGCTTTAGCTTAGCTTTAGCTTTACTGTTCGTACTAATGCTGCTTTCCTAGGGGCTCCAACTCCTATGTAGGGTCGCACTGGGATAATTGTCTAATGAGCTGATCCTGGGTGTTGGTCTGGCGGCTATGTCGTCGCCGTCGCCGCCCAATCGCCGCCTTTTCGCCGCCCGTCGTCTGGGCCTCGGTGTTGGTCTGACGGCTATGTCGTCGCCATCGCCGCCGGATCGCCGCCTCGTCGCCGCCCGTCGTCTTTGCCTGGGTGTGGGTCTGGCGGGTCCGTGGTCGCCGTCAGCGCCTCGTCGCCTCCGTACTGCCGCCTTAGATTCTCTTCTCTGACAGAGTCTTAGGATCTGCCCCCCCCGTGGACTTGCCACTACACCTGTTCTTATTGTTGTTTCCCGTATCTGATTCTGCACATTCGTTCATCCGAAGTATGAACGCATACCGTCCCAGACAGTTCCTTATCGACCCCCTTGCCCCTTGCAACAAATAGTATATACTATGCGCGCGCTCGTGCACCAACAATCAACAAATTCCAATAATCCCTTGCAGCAAATAGCACGAAATGCCCACTCGCGCGTCGTCGCGCGCGCATACTTCAAGTATCAACAACCTTCGGCCGCGGACGGATGTCAAAATCATCTGCGCCGGAGACATATTAGAATTGGCCTGGCGAAGGACCCAGCCATATGCAGCTGTGAGCACCGCAGTCGTGAGTATCATCTTCGGTGGAGCCCCCGATGGGGCCACGAGACGTGTGAGGGGTGTGCCGAAATGGATAGAGCGGGCGCATCTGGACGGTGCCATTGGGGCCTTGGGTGGAGCTCCCTATGGGGCCACGAAGCGTGTGAGGGGTGTGCCGAAGTGGGTATAGCGGACGCATCTGGACGGTGCCTTTGGGACCTTGGGTGGGAGGGGTGTGCCGAAATGTGTGTGGCGGACGCATGTGGACGGTGCCTTTGGGGCCTTGGGTGGAGCTCCCTATGATGCCATGAAACATGTGAGGGGTGTACCGAAATTGGTACAGCGGACGCATGTGGACGGTGCAATCTGGGCCTTCGGTGGAGCTCCCTATGGGGCCACGAAACATGTCAGGGGTGTGCCGCAATTCGTGTGGCGGACGCATGTGGACGGTGCTTCTGGGGCCTTGGGTGGAGCTCCCTACGGGGCCACGAAGCGTGTGAGGGGCGTGCCGAATTGGGTATGGCGGACGCATGTGGACGGTGCCATTGGGGCCTTGGGTAGAGCTCCATATGGGGCCACGAAGCGCTGTGCTGGGTGGGGGAGACAGAGGCAGGGATGGGAGGAGGGAGGGGGGGGACGAGGAGGAGACGAACGCGGGGACTGTCTGTTCAAAACGAAGACCCAACATCAGGTTGGTTGGGAAATACAAATGGTCTCGCAACAGGGGTTTTCAAAAAAAACTTGCGCTCGCGCCCTTGCGAATGTTTAAGCGAGCCATCGTTGTCTCAACATGCGCATCACATTCTGCCAAACGTGATTCGCGCGCTCATGTCGAAATCGGTCGAACGCCCTTGCGCGCGTGCTGTCGCAAAAATCTGTCCCGGAAAAGTATGACGAAGTGCGCGCGCGCGTCATCGCGCGCGCGTGCTGAGATTCATCAACACATGCATGTGCCGTCAGGACGTCAGAACCGAGTGCCCCGAACACATATACAAAAGCACGTGGCGACGCACGGCAATGCAACATCAGTTTTTAAGATTAGCTCTGCGCGCCAGCTCTTGCGAGTTCTTAAGAAAACCATCGGCTTTAAACCTTTTCATCGAGATTGACCAAACGGACCTCTCGTGGCGAATGCCGAAATCAGTCGAACGCCCTTCCGCAGGTACGTGGGGGGCAAGATCCTTTTTTCAAATAATACAACGCGGGCCACTCGCCATTCGCGCGCGTCGGCCGCGCGCGCATGTCGAACTCTTCCCCAAAGCCTTCATCACCGACGCGATGACACCGTCGGCGTCATCGGCGTAATTGGCATCGGCGCCGTCATGGGCATGGCCGTCGCCATCGTCATCATCGTCACCGTCATCATCGCAACTCTCATAATCGTGTCTACCGCTGTCGGAGTCGCCATGATACAGCGCCCGCCCGCGTCACCGATTCGCATTGACGTGTGCCCGTTGGGAAGTGCTTGGCGGGCAGCGACACCGCGGCCGCGGAACTTGCTTGCCGCTGCGCGCAGCTAGCGCGGCCGCGGACATGCACCAGCCAACGCCAATCATTCATCGCAGTCGCCGCCGCTCGGATCCTGCAAACCAAGTTACGGGTGGTCGAGTGGGATGCTTGCAAGCGCATGAACAGTGTCAACTCGTTTGTAAAACATACATTGCACAACGTATATTGCACCACATGTATTTCACAACCGAGAAACCACATAGTTTGCACCACATCTATTGTTGCATCACGTAGATCGCACCACAAATCGCTCGACATGGACTGCATCACGTGCATAGTTCAACGCTGCTTGCTAGAAATACTGCTTGGAGTCCACGCTGGCCAGCCTGCTTTCAGAATTTCGGAACGTCGTAGACGTCCCTGGCTCCAGGTGCTCCCAGCTTTCCGGAACCCCGTGTGATCCAACGTCATTTTTATGTTTCTACCATACACCATTGCATGCTTGGTGCACCCCATACCGCAAGTCCACCAGTGCGCACGCGGCGCATGCGCTCTCCCGAGGCCAGGTCTTGTCAGCCATGGATGATGCTTGCCTCTGCTGCCATCGGAGATGGCACCTTGCCTTGGAAGGTGTCGAGACCGACGGCACTTGGCGCATCGCATATGCGAAAGTGCACCCGTCGGATGTGTGCGCACTTCTGGCCAAGACCCTCCTCACTGACGTTCGCCCGCGGTTCCAAGCTATCGCTCCAGTTAGAAGGCATGCCTGCCTGCCCCCCTTGGAGCTGGCCTTCCCACCCAACGTGTGCATCCCACCACCTGGATAGTGGCCGAAGAGGTCGAATTACGCAGCTCATTGTGCATCACAAGTTCCACAGATTACTCCAGATTTCGTAATAAAAGGGAGGGGGTCTGGACCCTCCAAGACAAGCCATCTCAGACCTCCCCCCGTGGGAGAACCCTCCAAAACATCGTCCCCAGACCCCCCCCCGAAATGAGACCCCCCTCCCTTTATTACGAAATCTGGAGTACCCGACGTTCTGGCCAAATTCTACGCCCTGTTCTGGACTCTGGACCTCCAGGAGCCGACCCAAGTATTATTGGGCATGGGCGGTACGATCCAAAAGAGAGCGGCCGAAGATTCTCGCGGGGGGGGGGGGGGGGCCGTTTCTAACACTCGCGTGCTTGCCACAGCCCTTTGCGCGTCGCAGGCGCCCCCCGAGGGGGAAGACATGCAGCCCGATGCGCTCCGCGCCAGGAGGCGTTGCTTGTGTTCGCCTTCTCCTCCTCCTGCGCGAGTAGCGCGGCAGTTATGTCGGTCCTAGGGCCCTTTTTAACACGTTCGAAGCAGAGACATTGGCCCCGATAGTTGCCTGACCTGATCCTCCTCCTCCTCCTCCTCCTCATCCTCCTCCCCCTCCTCCTCCTCTTCCTCGTTCTCATCCTCCTTTTCCTCTTCCCCCTCCTCCTCCTCCTGCTCCTCCCGCCGCTCGTTGCCCAAGGTTTTGCCACCGCAGTTCTCCCTCCCCCGCGGAGGGTGGCCAGGTCTTCAGCGCCGGCCCCACGGCGCTGGTCACGCATCCGATCTGTGCCGAGCACGGGGCCCTCCCCCTCGACGTGGAGGACCTGGTGTACCGCCAGCGCATCATCACCAGGACGCCGGAGAACCCGAGCCGGCTGGAGGCGGCAACGTGGGCCGACGATGGAGGAGAAGGAGGAGGAGGAGAAGGGGGGGGGAGGAGGAGGAGGGCGGGAGGAGGAGGAGGAGGAAGAGGAGAAGGAGGGAGATGACGACGACGACGACGACGGCGACGACGATGACGACGACGACGACGACGACGCCGACGACGACGACGGCGACGACGACGGCGGTGGCGACGACGACGACGACGACGACGACGACGACGACGGCGCCGTTTTCTGCACAGGCCTTGGGGAGGGGGAGCGCTTCTGGAGTTCCTCGTCGCCGCGGCCGGGCACGGCGACGAGAATAGTGGCCGGGGTGGGCTCTCGGAGAGGTTCGGGCACCCGCGTCGAGCGGTTCGGGGATTTGGCTCGGGGCGAAGGAGACAACCATTTTTTGAAGGCTCGGGCAAGGCTTACTTGCATGGCGTTCGCCCCCCACGAGCCCCCATCGCCCCTTGTCAAAAGAATGCTGGCGTTAGGCCGGGCATGTCCCTCTACTGGAGGACCATTCAACAATAATATAAAACATCGTCTGGGGACGATTTTGTTTACCATTTTCGAATATTTTGGAATATTGTTTGACTATTTTTTATTGTTCCAAAATCCGCCTGTAGGAGGACATGCCCGACCTAAGCATAGTGGCCAAGGTGGGCTCCCGAGGGGCTCGGGCACCCGTCTCGAGCGGTGTGGGGATTTGGCTCGGGGCGAGGGAGACTGTTTTTGTTGAGGGCCCAGCGATCACTCGGGTTCCCAGACCCCTTCGCGCGCTGAACAAAAACACGACGGAAGGTTTTTCGATATTTTCGGCTTCGGGGGGCCCTCACCGAGCCTCGGGACCGTCAAAAATCGACGCTGGATGACAAACCGGTCTCCAGGAAGGGGTCTGGACCTTTGGGGGTCGACGTTGTGAAAAAATCACGGCTCGACCCCCCCGCCCCCAGGATAAAACCTAACCTAGCCGGTTGTGCAGGTCCGGCGGGGGCGCAGGGAGCTCGCATGGAGCGCTGTATTCAACGGTACGGTGGTGTTCGCCACAGCATGCTGGTGTTTGGATGCATTTTTTTTAGATTCGGGGCAGGTTTACTTGCATGGCGTTCGCCCCCCACTATCCCCCTCGCCCCTCTTCAAACGAATGCTAGCGTGCAAGTGCCTTTTGACTTGCGTGATTTCCGCAGGTGCAAGTCGTCTGCGGCTTGCATCAGGTTCAGGCCCGCCTCCGCCCATGCGAGTAGACTTGCCAGAATCTACGAAAAAAACAAGCTCGAGGGCGTCCTTCTCGGAAGGTCTCCTGGCAGTTTCCGCCGCTCCTAGGGCGCCCCGCAGCCTTCTCAGAGGACAGCTCCCGTGGACCAATCATGCTATGATCTATGTGCGTCGCCCACTGGGAAATTATCGGGATGCTCACAGATCGCCCCCTAGAGGTAATCCTGGTTGGCCCCAACATGCCCCCAGGATGCAGTGGAGACTCATGCCAAGAAACACCCTGCTTGCCTCCAGGGTGCCCTGGGTTTCGATGGTTTTGCGATGGAGGTCGTGACGTTCCCACACCAAAACTCAACGGACGTCCTGGGGTCTCAGGGTTGGGTTTCTTGTGGAAGGTTTCTTGCGGTCGGGCCCCTACTGTACCCCCGGGTCCTGTTGAGGCCAGTGTGGGCTCAGCCCAGAAAATTGCAATGGATCACCGCCGCCTTTTGGAGGGGAGGGCGGAAGTGGGCAGGGTTGGTGGCGTGCACGTTTCTGAGCGACCTCCGCGGGGCGTCATCCTGCACACCCGCAGCCCGCGGCGCAGAAGTGCAATCGCAGGATGGAGATTGTGATCGCGAGCTTCCCCCTCCCTCCCTCCCTCCCCCCTTCGCCCCCCCCCCCCCCCCTCGCCGGAAGGGGGAGGGAGGCAGGGTGGATGGGTCAGGGGGCGGACGGGAGCCGAGAGGGGGCAGGGGCGAGGACAGGGGACGGAGGAGGGGGGGAGGCGGGAGGCAGGAGGGAGGAGGGAGGGAGGGGGAGAATGAGGGCTAGGGCGACGACGAGGACGACGAGGACGACGACGAGGATGACGACGAGGACGACGGCGAGGATGAGGAGGAGGAGGCGGAGGAGGAGGACGACGAGGACAAGGGCGAGGGCATAGGAGGAGGGAGGCGGTAGGAGGGGAGGCGGGGGGAGGAGGAGAAGCCAGGACGGAATACGAGTATGAGCCTGACCACATCACGAGACGAACAGAAAAGCATTGTTATACATGCTGAAATATAAAATGGAGCAAGGCTCCTCCTCGTAAGATCGAGCGGGTGTCTCTTAATTTCCAGCAGACAGGTCTGCTATACTTCCGCGCAGAACAGCCGCGTGGGACCCCTAAAACGGCTCCCACAGAAAGCCCCAAAAACCAGCCCGCGTGAAACAGGCGGAGCTCACGACTCTACATGATAACGTCTGCGGTCGGCCCGAGGTATGAGGTCGAGGTCGGCTCGGGGAGGGTACCCTAAAGTTCCTCGTGTTTGTTGGACGTTCTTGTGCATCCTGGGGGATGGCACCATCGAGCGATCTTATAGTTTGAGGTGTTTAGGCCGGCGGAGGGTCCCATGCAGTGGGGACCCATACCAAGACATCCTGCTTGCCTCCAGGGTGCCCTGGGTTTCTTGGGTTTCGATGGTTTTGCCGTGGAAAGCGCGACATTCCCGCACCAGAAATCAGTGGACGTCTTGGGGTCTCAGGGTTGGGCTTCTTGTGGAAGGCTTCTTGTGGACTGACCTCCACTGTGTTCTTGAAGCAGGCTTGTTTTCAGGAGGGGGAAAATCACACAGACACAATGAATCGTCGACCCCAAGGAAAAAATGAAACATATGGGAAGTGGGGGGGGAAGACGAAAACCCAGAAAATATGGAAAAAACATTAGGAATCCTGTGATTTGTGTGCATTTATGCGTGTGTCCTTGGGTCCCTTGCTTGAAGCAGGCTGGCTATCTCCTGGGTCCGGCCGAAGCGCGCCGAGGAGGAGGAGGCAGGCAGGCCCCGAAAGCGGGGTGCAGGCCCCGCGGAGTCCACACCCGCCTGCTGGCAGGGCCAGGCGCCCACGAGAGGCAGGCGATCGCGGACATGGATCACCCTGACTCCGGATCCGCCCTACTTCTTGGCTTTTTTTCCAACTTAAAATTGCATCGGAAATCCACCTGTAAGAGGCCGAAGGAGTAGGGCGGAAATTGCTGCAGCCAACATAGAATAGGGCGGAAGTCCACAGAAACAGCAACAGAAAAGTAGGGCGGAAATTGGCATCGTCGGGGCTTGAAAAGTGAGGCGGAAATTCCAAGCCCCACTTACGAATTTCCCCAAAGTAGGGCGGATCCGGAGTCAGGGCAAGGGGGCGTGGATCCGCGACAGGTCCCGTTTCTTGGGGGAATCGCAGACTCCCGCCGCCGCGCGAGGCGGCACCGGCCGCATTTTGTGCATTCTGGGGAGGGCACCTCCCCCGGATCCATGGATCGGGCGACCGCGCGCCGAACCCATGGATCGCTAATCCATGTGTTGCGCGCCCCCGAGAGGGAGATGGGGGGGGGAAGAAAAACGAAAGCGCCATAGACATAAACTGTTTGCGCTCCGCGCGGAGCGGCTAAAGTTTATGTTTGTGGCGTTGTTTCTTATTCCAGGGGAGGGCGGGTAAGGGGCTAAGGGGAACCGTCAGAAGGGAGAACACACACACGCAGACACGAAGAATCGCCGACCCCCAGGAAAGTATGGAAACAGATGGGAAGTGGGGAGGCAGACGAACATCCAGAACATATTTGCAAATATTGGGAATTCTGGGATGTGTGCCTGATTATCTCATTGAGGGGTTTGCGCTCGATCTTCGATCGCTGCAGAAGTGCATTCTGTCCAGAACGTCAAGAGGCTCGCCGTGGCGGCTTCGAAGCCCCCAGAGGCCAAGAGAAGGCGAAGAGTGTCCCGAGTCCTAGATCGTTCGAACCTCCCCACCACAGTGCACTCGGACTGGGTCCACGGGCCCCTCCCGGGGTTCCGCCCAGGCTGCCTCACATCCCCGGTTTCTGACAGGCCCGGGCGCACCAGGCGGGCCTCCAGAGGCCGAGGCGTGGCGGACTTCGAGCCTCGCCTGGCTCGACCCCCTCCTCCGGGCGGCGGGCATCGGGCCTGCGGCGCAGGACTCCGCCGGCCCCCGGCGAGGCGTCTCGGCGCGTGGGCGGGCGCTCTGCCAGTCCCTCGGGGCGGTCTCGGCGGGTGGGCGGGACGGGCACGTCGGCTCCTCGTCCGCCTCCTCCTGCTCGATCCTCGCGGGACACAGGCCTCAAACCTAGCTTCTCGATCCCATCCTCCACCGTCTACCCGATCCTCGCTCCTCGACCCTTCCTCCTCCTCCTCCTCCTCCTCCTCCTCCTCCTCCTCCTCCTCCTCCTCATCCTCCTCCTCCTCCTCCTCCCGGCACCTGCGCCGCTGGGTCCCTTTTCCCAGGTGAACACGCGGGTAGCAGCCCGACCGTCACCTCGCCCGTGCCTGTCCGAGGGTCGTGGGCGACCACGATGTTCGGCAGGAGCGGGCGGGGCAGAGACTCGTGCACCTCGTCGCCTGCTTTTTGCCCCTGCCCAACCTTCCCACGGCCTGGGCCCCCCCGCCCAGGCGTGCGTGGGAGTGCGTTGGTCTCCGTGGGCGTGGCGCCCCACGGAGGCTCACTGGGGCGGCACGCCAGGGTTTCGTTATCTGAGGGTCCTTGGCGGCAGCCTCGTGCAGGGACAGAGCCTCCATGCTGCCCCACGGTGCCCGCCGCCTCGGACTTGTCGGAACGCGCGGCGCGCCGAAGTGCGCGCCGCTCGGGTGTCGGAGCATGGGGGGAGGAACCCGCCGTAGCTTCTGCTCAAGGGTGAATGCCGTGCTCGGGAGCAACAGGGGAGGGGCCCGCCTTTGCCTTTGCGTCGACGGTGAAGGCTTTGCTTGTTTGGATGTGTTTAATTGTTTGTATCGCACCTGCGATGGCGGTAATCCTTGTACTCCTCCTCCTCCTCCTCCTCCAACTTCGAATATCGATTCTCGGTCCCCTCCTCCTCCTCCTCCTCTTCCTCCTCCTCCTCTTCCTCCTCCTCCTCCTCCTTCTCCTTGCTCCTCGTTCCTCCTCCTCCTCCTCCTCCTCCCCCTCCTCCTTGCTCCTCGTTCCTCCTCCTCATCCTCCCCCCCTTCCCCATCCTTATCCTAATCCTCCTCCTCCTCCTCCTCCTCCTCCTCCTCCTCCTCCTCCTCCTCCTCATCGTTCCTCCACCGCTCCGGCCCGCGCCCCGAGAGAGCGGCGAAAGGTGCTGTGCGGGGAGCGCGGCGTCCTGCGCGGCGAGGCCTTCAGGCGCGCGGCCGAACCCCCCCCCCGCGCGGCGCTGCTGCCGCCGCCGCCGTCGCGGCCCTCTGTCTTCGCCGCCGTCGCCGAGGATCGCAGGCGATGTTCCCCCCCAAACGCCGCTCCGAAAAGGGGGGAACCCTGGGATACACCTCAAGGGGGCCAGTTGTTCGGACACGCCCCTCTCGAGGCCAGACGCCCCCCCTATCGTGTATCCCAGGGTCGAGCCCCAAGTAGCTGGTCCATTGGAGAACCCCACGAAGCCTGGGATAGGGGTCGCCGTGTCCCCCTGTTAGAGGAGGAGAGGAGGAGGAGGAGGAGGAGGAGGAGGAGGAGGAGGAGAATCTAGACCTCCCAGATGGGGTCCGAGGAGCTGGGGTCAGAGGATCGCTCCGCATCGCCGATGCTTCGACGATGCGGCGCGATGCGGAGCCCGATGTTCTCCACGCCGACGTCGCCGATGTATCGCCCACGTCGCCGACGCCTTGGCGACGCATCGGCGATGCTGCGCGATCCTCCGATCCCATCTAGTCCGACTCCATCTAGGAGGCCTCTGCTGTGCAAACCCAAGACCCATCAAAGATGTTAGAATATACCCTCCCTCCAAGCTCCCTCTTCATAGGCCCCTACACGGTTTCATTCCATAGAGAGGGGTGCCCCGTTTGGGGACAACCGTTTGAAGATCCTGAAGGAGGAGGAGGAGGACTGAAGGAAGTAAGTGCACGAAGAGGTGGATGAGGAGGAGGATGCGCACTTGGAGGCGGAGGAAGAGGACGGGGAGGTGCACGGAAAGGCGGAGGAGGAAGCCGAGGACGAGGAGGAGGAGGAGGTGGAGGAGGAGGAGGAGGCGGCCTTGAAATCTTGGGGTTGCTGTTTGTCCACACTGGGCGGTGTCGCCGCCCCGGGAACATCATAGATCGATCGGGCCCGAGAGATATCGCAGAGAGATCGGGTCTGTGGCCCCAGCCGTGATGTTTCACGAGGCCGACTTCTGCTGTTTCGCAGCGTCGGACCTCCGGGGACGGCGAGACGGCGACGCAGACGGCGGCAGCGACGATGACGGAGACGGCGGCGGAGGTGGCGGTGGCGGCGGCATCTCCGACGACGGCGGCGGCGGCGGACTGCGGCGGCGACGACGGAAGACGTCAACGAAGACGAGGACGACGGGGGCGACGACGACGACGACGACGACGACGACGACGACGACGACGACGACGGCGGCCCGACGTAAGGAGGACATGCCCGACCTAAGGCTACAGTGGGTTCGCGCCGCCTTGACGCGGCAGGGGCCCGCGCGCGGGCGCTCCCGGCGGAACGCCGCCGGTGGCCCAGAATCGGCCGACACGGAGCGAGGAGGGGGAGGAGGAGGAGGGAGGAGGAGGAGGAGGAGGAGGAGGAGGAGGAGGAGGAGGAGGAGGAGGAGGAGGAGGAGGAGGCGGAGGCGGAGGAGGAGGAGGTGGAGGAGGAGGAGAGGAAGGGCCGCCCATCGCCCGAGGTCGAGGAAGATCCACGCGGTGTCGAGAAGCGACGCCCGAGGCCGCCTCGGCGCGCGGTCCTGCCGCACGCCGCGCAAAAATGTAGGCGGAGGCCCGGGATCGGCGGGAGGCGGGCTCTGACCCGGCGCCTCTCCCTGCAGAGCCCCGGGAGGGCGGCCCGGCTTCTGCCCCCCCGTCCCACCCAACCCCCCCCCCCCCGCGCACAGGGGAGCGCGGGCGCGCCACGTCTTCGACGACGACGACGACGACGACGACGACGACGACGACGACGACGACGACGGGACAGCGGCGGCGGCGGCGGCGACGACGTTGCCGACGACGACGACGACGACGACGACGACGACGACGACGACGACGACAACGACGACGACGACGACGACGACGACGATGACGACGACGACGACGACGACGACGACGACGACTTCGACGACGACGACGACGACGACGACGACGACGACGACGTCCACGACGGTGACGACGACGACGACGACGACGACGACGACGACGACGACGACGACGACGGCGACAACGGCGACGACGACGACGAGGCCCCCGCCCGCCCAATCCAGGGAGCTGCGCTGGGTCGGCGAGGCGGCGGCGGCCCCGCTTGTGGACGTCCTCCGCGTGCACGAGCGCCTCCCCCCCCGCGCCGCTGAGCCGCTGCAGCTCCCTCGATCTCCACCTTCCTCCCTCCTTCTCTCCCTCCATCTCCACCTTCCCTCCCTCCTTCCCTCCCTCCTTCCCTCCCTGCTTCCCTCCCTGCTTCCCTCCCTCCTTCCCTCCCTGCTCCCTCCTGCCTCGTCCCTCCCTCCCTCCTTCCTCCTCCCCCCTGCCTTCCTTCCTCCTCCTTCCTTCCTCCTCCCCCCTTCCCCCTCGTCCTCCACCTTCCTCCCTCCTTCCTCCTCCCTCCCTCGCGCCGGATCGTGGAGGACGCCATACCTCCTTCCGGAGATCGGCTTCTAGGATCGGTTTCTCCTCCCCACCTTTCTCCGGCGAGGACCATCACAGGCCTCTGCCCATCCGGCGGTGACCATCGTAGGCGCCACCCCTCAGCAGGCTGCCATCACAGGGGCTGCCTGGGCGCCACTCCCATGACCACACCAATACATTAGGCCGTCACTGGCACCAGAGGGGGCCGAGGCCCTCCCTACGGTCCCCCGGCCAACGAAGACGAGGGGCGCCCCGTACCTCCACAACTCCGACCTTACTACCTGAAGGCGCCAACTGCCACCATCCAGTGTTCTCCTCCCTCCTCCCTCCCTCCTCGCTCCCTCCTGCCTCCATCCCCCCCCCCTCCTCCCCCCCTCCTTCCTTCTCTTTCTTTTCCTTTACTCCTCCTCAACCTCCTTTCCCTCCTACTCCTCCTCCTCCCCGTCCTTCTCCTCCTCCTTCTCATCCTTCTCTTCCTTCTCCTCCTCTCTCTCCTCGTTCTCCGCCCCTCCCTCCTCTTCCGTCCTCCTCTCTCCTCCCGTCCCCGCTCCTGCTGCTCCTCCGCCTCCTTTTCCTCCTCTCTTCTTCCTCCGTTACCTGCCTCGGGCTAGGGATGGGACCCGATCATGAGCTGGAGTATCCACGAGTCTGTTTACATCATATTAGTGCCTTGACGTTTCACGTAGATCACAGGCTCAAGGCAGAGCATGACGCGCGAGGGAGCGTACCCAACACTCCCGCATTTCAGCGCACGATCTTTACAACAGCGAAGGCCCGCCGTCGGCTGCTCATCACGCTGCCGCGCCGCAGGTCCGAACTCCTTCTCCCCCTCCTTCTCCTCGTTTCCGTCCACACAGTCCCGCTCCCCCTCCACCTCATCATTGTTCTTCCGCCTCACTCCACAAACACACAACGTGAACACGACTCCTCTTCTGCTGCTTTTGACTTGGATCTTGCGTACTGCTTCTACATCGGATTTTCCCTGTCTGCTGCTCCCAGACAGCGTTTCGCCAGAGGATCCTGCGAGTTGTAGTGGCAAAATCAACAAAACGCAAACGAATTCCACATGGGGACGGGGAAGCCCCAGACCGCCGGTTCAGGCAGCGGTCCGGCAGCCGTGCCGCTTGTGCACAATGTATTCAGGCACCGCCATCTCGCCTCAATGCCAGCTTCATGTGTTGTACAAACGGCCACAATGCTTGGGATAAAAAAAGCTCAGGTGCGCCATGATCTCGCCCATGTCCCCTGTAGCCGGTTCGTTGGCCCGCCTCTTCGCTTTTGTTGTTGTTGTTGTTGTTGTTGATGTTGTTGGGGTTGTTGTTGTTGTTGTTGTTGCTAAGTTGTTGCTAAGTTGTTCTGCTGGCTTAGTCTTATACCACCATTTCTTATCAGGCCGTTTTCGGCGCTTCAAGGTAATACTCCCGATGCAGCGCGCACGACGTTTAATGTGATGGGCTTGTTCCCACCACCACCATAAGTTGGAGGGGGGAAGGAGGAGGAGGACGAGGAGGAGGAGGAGGACGACGAGGCAGAGGAGGAGGAGGAGGAGGTGGAGGAGGAGGAGGACCGCCTCCCCCTTCAACTTATGGTGGTGGTGGAAAACAGGCCCATCATAATGGTGGAGAGGGAGCCTCCGTACGACCGAGCCCCGGTCTCGCAGTAGCGCTGGCCGTGCGCTTGCATCCGGGAAGGTGGCGCTCTTGCTGCAGGGTCTGCCGCAGTCGCGGCTTTCCGCAGATCTCCCGCCCAGGCGAATGACGTTCTTCAGGAGGGAAAAACACAGACACAATGAATCGTCGATTCCCCAGAAAATATCGGAAAATATCGCAAGTGGTGGGAAAAAACCCAGACAATGTTGGAAAGCATGGGGGATCCTGTTATTTGTGTCTAGTTGTGTGTGTGTGTGTCTGTGTGTGTGTCTGTGTGTGTCTGTGTGTGTCTGTGTGTGTGTGTGTCTGTGTGTGTCTCTGTGTGTGTCTCTGTGTGTGTCTCTGTGTGTGTGTCTCTGTGTGTGTCTCTGTGTGTTGTCTGTGTGTGTGTGTCTGTGTGTGTGTCTGTGTGTGTGTCTGTGTGTGTGTCTGCCTGTGTGTGTGTGTCTGTGTGTGTCTGTGTGTGTGTGTCTGTGTGTGTCTGTGTGTGTGTCTGTGTGTGTGTCTGTGTGTGCGTGTCTGTTTGTGTGTGTGTGTGTCTGTGTGTGTCTGTGTGTGTGTCTGTGTGTGTCTGTGTGTGTCTGTGTCTGTGTGTGTGTGTCTGTGTGTGTGTCTGTCTGTGTCTGTCTATGTGTGTGTGTCTGTGCTTGTGTGTCTGTGTGTGTCTGTGTGAGTGTGTGTCTGTGTGTGTCTGCGTGTGTGTGTGTGTGTCTGGTTGTGTGTGTGTGTCTGTGTCTGTGTGTGTCTGTGTGTGTGTCTGTGTGTGTCTGTGTGTGTGTGTCTGTGTCTGTGTCTGTGTGCGTGTCTGTGTGTGTGTCTGTGTGTGTGTGTCTGTGTGTGTGTCTGTGTGTGTGTGTCTGTGTGTGTGTGTGTCTGTGTGTGTGTCTGTGTGTGTCTGTGTGTGTCTGTGTGTGTGTGTCTGTGTCTGTGTCTGTGTGTGTCTGTGTGTCTGTCTGTGTGTGTGTCTGTGTGTGTGTGGGTGTCTGTGTGTGTGTCTGTGTGTGTGTGTGTGTCTGTGTGTGTCTGTGTGTGTCTGTGTGTGTCTGTGTGTGTCTGTGTGTGTGTCCCAGGGCCACTTCAGTTCTCGCCGCAGCGGTGGCCGCACAGCCGGCGCGAGGGTTAAGAACAACTTTAGCTTTCGAGGTATATCTTTATATTATTCGTCTTCGGCGAACGAGCTTGTGTTATTGGCCTACGTCCTTATGACCATGTTTCGAGTGCACTCCTGCTTCAGCACTGGTGCTATCGCTGCAGTATGTGTGCGTGTGCGCCCCGTGCAACGATCTCCACACAAGGTCCTCCCAGCCTTCCCCATCCGCCTCCCTCATGCCCTCTCAGCTCTTGACTGCCCTGCACCCGCCCCTGCAAACAGAGAGGCCCCAAACGCAATGGACAGGAACGGGATGGGTCGGCAGGACGCCAGATCTGGCGCGAGCGCGCGCAGCTTCTCCACCTGGGTGCCACCCGTCGTCCCGCTGCCCTGGCCCGCAGGGCCCCCCGAGGTGGTTGGCACCAGTCACGGGGCGACCTGCCCCGAGCCTCGAGGAGGGGAAAGCCACGCGCAGACCCTCGCCCTGCGCCGCTCGCCCTAGGCGACTCCTCCTCCTCCTCCTCCTCCTCCTCCTCCTCCTCCTCCTCCTCCTCCTCCTCCTCCTCCTCCTCCTCCTCCTCCTCCTCCTCCTCCTCCTCCTCCTCCTCCCCCTCCCCCTCCTCCTCGTCGAGACGGCGACGACCTGCCGAAGCCGGGCTCCGTCGTGCCGGCCTCGTCGGCGGGAGCGTGCGGCTCAGTCTTTCGACCGCGTGCTGGCAAGGGGGGGGCCCCCTCGGAGGGGCCCCCGCATGCGCCGCGCCCCCGTCCCCCCCCCCCAGAGTTGGGGCGGAGCTCCCGCGGGGGCTCCGCCCTTGGGCCTCCTCCGCGGGGCGAGCGCCAGGATCCGGCGGCGTGCTCCGCCGTGGCCCTCGCCTGGGCTCTCGTCGCCCCCGGCGGTGGACGGCGCGCGGGCGGAAAGGATCGAGGACCGATTTTGCGCTGCGCCTCCGGGGGGCCGCGTGCCCCAACAGACAGTGGTGCTTGCTCGGGTTCCCGGCGCGGGCTCGATGCGGACTCGACTCGGATGCAACGTGGATTCGGCGCGGATTCGACAAGGGCAACACGGATTCGGCACGGATCCGACGCGGATAGGAGCGCGACGGGACAGACAAGGTCCCCCGAATATACAACACAACCTTGGTTTGGAGCGATTTCAGGTCCAGCGTGGGACGAGAAGTGGGTCTTCTAAGAAGGCAAAAGGTTTCTTAGACGGGATGGACCCCTTCACGATCGGAGAAACGCAAGACTCGAGTACGCCGAAATTCGGGTTCGCCGACGCTTTTTGACGAGCGCGTCCTGGATTTTGAAGATTCAGTTTTCGTTCGATGTTTGCAGTGAGAGTTCGCGTCAAGTTTCAGATTGGGTCTCGTCTTTTTCATGATGGTTCCGTCAGTCGGCGGCGAGCCCGCGAGCCCGGGGGGGAAGTCCGAAGGAGAAGGTCTTCTCAGAAGGTTCGAAAGTCCTCTTTGAGAAGGTTCGAAGGTTGAGAAGTTTCCTAAGCCTTCCCCGAAGACACTGAAAGCCTCCCAGAAGGCGCGAGGACTTCTGATAAGGCCTTCTCCTTCTCGCTTACCCCCATGGCTCGCCGCCGAATCATGGCCCTGCCAGGCCAACCCGAGTCCCCGGAACCCGAGTTCTACGTCTCCACGACGCGAGGCTTCCAGGAATGCCCTCTTGAATGGAAGGCGCGGCAGCCTCCGAGGCGCCCCTCGCCCCGCACATGCTGCGCGCCGCCGGGCACGGCGGGCTCGTCAAGTAAGAAGTCGCCTTGCCAGAAGGATGGGGCCTGTGGTATAGAACACCAGCACTACCTCCCTCATCCCCTCCCTCCCCGAGGAGAGAGGAGAGGAGGATGAGGATGGAGGAGGGAGGAGGAATCGGCGTGGTGGTGGTGTATATTCTTGGGGCTCGAGAGAAGGTGCCACGCGAGCTCCTCCTCCTCCTCCTCCTCCTCCTCCTCC